AAAAATGGTACAATATACCTGAAAATGGTAATCTTTCAAGATGTCTTCGTCTTAATTTCAAAATATTACAGACTTCACAAATGAAAATGTGTCAATTTCGGGAACATTTCGAACAGATGTGACCGGAATTTTATGACCATTATGGATACTGTTAAATTGGTGAGATTGGGAATGAATGCAAATTTATACGAGTACTTTGGCATCGGCTCAGGATGATCAAAAGAAAGTTCAGGGTCATGTTTTCGAGCTTTTTCACGGCTCAGATTTGAAGCTGATTGTGGGCATTTGGAAAATTTTGAATTATTAACCTTAACCTACCCAGGAGCACAAGCTATTCTATGAACTGTTTTTCCATTGTTACCTTTCAAATCAAGAAAATAGAAAAAGGTGATAATTTGAAAAATAATTGAACATTTGAAGAAATGAGACTCACAAAAAGAATATCCGCGATATTATCGAGGCATGTGCTTCCGGATTTCGCCGCAATTTTGTTTCATTCTGCATTTGAAAGAATAAATTACCTGAAATACAAAACACTAATACACGTTCGGTATATACATATAGTCGTTTGAAAGTTGACGAAATTCGATTTCTTTGACGCATTTATTTCTAGTAAAAATTCTAAATTGAAAACTTTGCCTAATCAACTGATATTCTAGGAATTTTTGAACCTCTCAAAACAATCATGATTACTGTTTACTCTCTGATCATATGCATATTGATGATTACTCTGATTACTCTCTGTTGCGTATTGATGATTACTCTCTGTTGCATGATCATATGCAATTCTTTGACGCGCACACAATCCCGCGCTCATGCGCGATTTCTACACTGTTTTTAAATGTTATTCGCCAATTCCCCGGGGAATCTTCGCACAGACTTTGCCCGCAGCTTAGAAAAGAAAATTGCGTAAACCTATGGGAAGACAATACACAAGAAAATACGGAATCTTGCTTGAGAAATCGAGAAAATTTGAGAAAATTTAAGAAAATCTCAAAAAATATTGTTCGCAACTTGATGAATACAAGCGACATAGAACGCTTACGAGCGCTAACATAAGAGGAAGTGAGTGTATGCGATGCTATGATTCGTTACGCAACGATGCACTCATAATGCACTGGTGATTAGGATGCGTTCTAAAGATATGTCATATGCACTATTGTTTTGATTGAATAGTTTATTCAATGATTCAGTCATGTGTTATTTCTATGGGTCTGCGATAGTTTACCCAGAGAAAGTCTAATCGTAAGATAGGGCGTACCTCATCTTCGAGTAGTGTAGTGCTTTGTCATTGAAATGAAGTAAAACTGAAGATTCAAAGCAAATTTTCTTTTTGATGATTGAATTGATAATGACGAATAAATACTTGGGCAGTGTTCACTCTTACAATCAGCACACTCCTAACTGATTTCTAATTTGCTTTACTGAATTTTTGAGCAATTTCTTTGCTTCCTGGAACTTCTTACATCATCTTTCACGTCCATCGGAGTTAGACTTGTCCTAGGTGTAGCTGTCGGTCAGATAGGGGATTAGACTTGGTTCTGGTGTTTTCTTTACTTGGGTTTTTTTCTCTGAGAAATAATAGCAATAGTTAAATACACAAAATAGGTTAGAACCANATCCAGAAAAGTTCACGACATGTTGCCTGATGGAAATTTTGATTCATTCAAAAACACATCTTCATACGTAAATCATACTTTGCTCTCAGTGAGCCGTATCAATTCTGACTATGGATAACAGTATGTTCGAACGTTATTTTCCTCAATTCTACTGGAATACCGGACGATTTTAGTACCGACTTTGTAGATCTTAACTGTGAATTGGAGAAATACATATTTATGTCTCATCAGAGTGAAAGAAAGTGAAACTTGGTTCGTTTTGAATGGCACAGAAAAGACGATAGGAATAGAGACTGGGATTCTTCTCAATAAATTTTATTCAATAACTGATTGTGAATACAATGGAAAATTGGCATGAACAGATAACAACCAATAACATTTCGTACTGCACTGAGGTTAGGAAAACACAAAAAAATACATTCTTTAAAATGGAACAAAAGCTTGAAGAAATAAGAACAATTATCGATCAGGAATATACAATTTATATGTGATAACGATTCCATAAGTCCAAGACAACAAATAACATCGAAAATAATACTCAATCAACATTACAATCAAAAAGAAGTAAATATTAATAATGTTCCATCGTAATGACATGATTTTTTCAAAGAGCAATCAAAAACAACATTATTATAAAGGTATCGTGCCGTTTTGAACCAGCTTGTGTCATACGATTGGTAATAAATGAATTCACTGTCTCGGAGATCTGGAATCACTAAATTACCAGTCTGTAATGTTCAGTTCATCAACACCCCAGTCTTCAAACGAACCATCCGGAAGATACCTGCAAGCAAACCAAAATATTATCATCAAACTAAAATCCTGTTATGAATTATCATAAAACTGATTGGAAGGCATTGATTATACATGATTTGCAAGATCAAGATATTACCTTCTAATAATGATTGGAATTTTGCGGTCTTTCAGCTCTTTACGAGCAATCTCCAATGGGTCGGTTTCGCCTTCTAACTCTACCATCACGGGTGCACCCATTGCTATTTGCAGGGCTCGAGTACCGAGAATCCTGGCTCGTTCGTACTTGGTCATGAATGGTGTGGTGACACGATCTGTGGATGCAGTTCGCTCAGTGCCCTTCAAAATTAGTTAATTATTTCAAACGCAAAACACTTTTCAGACAGAAATTAATATGCTCAGTTATAACATAGCGAACGCTGCACATAACATCAAAATAACAGATGAGGTGATGTGAACTGTAAGAAACTCTCTCAACTAATATCAAAAACTATTCGACCAAATCTCAGAAACTCATTTCATCATGAATAACACTGCTACATTCCAAATTAACAGTTGGTGACTTCATTTATTTTCACATCTGAATCTACAATAGGAATAAACTATTTTGCGAGAATTTCCAAAAAGCTGCAAAAAAATCTTAGTTTATCTTAGGAAAGTATTATGGCTAAGAAACATTTCATTACCTCAACTAACTGTGTCCGTTCTGCTTCATCTTCAGCGCCCTCCAACTCCAAATCGTCCATCTGTTCCTCTTCCCCGAACTCATCACCCTCCATATCACCCTCATAATCGTCGTCATCGGCCATTTTTCAGCACCAAAACCTGACCAAAACTGATACCATTTCAAAAAAAAAGCAGAATATCAAAACGGATAAAATTCAGTGCGATCATTCATAACTTGATAAATTTACATTGACATCTGCTAACGTGAACACTGAAAGCGTTTAGAACAATGTAGATCACATGAGACTGATTGGTAACAAATAGAAAACGAAGAAAATCAAATGGAAAATTCGGAAAACACCGTCCTCCCCACTCAAGAAATTTATTTCGTTCATCCATATCAACTGAGAATCACTCGCACGGTGCGTACGCACTTCGCCAAATGCGCGTGTCGGCGGAAGGAGGGCGGAGTCCTTGGCGAGCAATTGAGATGAAAAAAGTACCGGAACAGAAATTTGA